GAAAATATTGTGGAAATGAAGGGAGAAGCACCGGTTCCTGACGAGTAATATATAAAAAGCTGATTGATCGAATGTTTGAAATATATCAATAAAATCTTTGTTCCAATATGTTACTAATACATTCAAACCGACACTAATCAATTTCATAATGATCAAAATTAGAAGCATACATCGAGCATAGATACGTTCTTCTGAGAAGAAGTACATGAGAGAAAGACGTCAATTATCGGCACATAAAGAAATCAAAGCATGCATTTCTTTTTGCTGAAAGAAAATGAAAAAAATAGTATGCAGAACAACAATCAGCTTTTTATATATTACTCGTCAGGAACCGGTGCTTCTCCCTTCATTTCCACAATATTTTCTTGTTCTCATCCATACGTCATGAAAGAAGTGATGTGTAGTGTGCTTATTGTTTTTGTTGATCTTTGTTTATAAGGTTATTTCCATTGTTTCTTATCTGATCGAGAAGTCGCCAGAAAGTCAATGATTGCATATAGAAAATGGAAGCTTAGTCAGGAATTTTATTCAAATATTCTAATGAAACATTAATAGCATTATATCTCTATTTCTTTCGATTGTGATAAACATAAATCACAAAAGATGTCAAAAGTTTTAGCAACAGTGTGTCACCCGACGGAAAACAAAATGAATAATTCAATTCTTTATGATGTCCAAGTAATATAACGTGCGACCTAAATAATGCCGATATCAAGAGAAGATGAAAAAAATTGTTTTGTTCTGTTTTTTAGAGATCAAGACATTTAACGAAGCAGTTTCTTAGTTAATAGGTAATATTATTCGATCAATCTCTAGTAATTCCATTCTTTCGAATACAAAAAAACAAGCAAATACAAAATTTCTGTTCATTCGTGTTCCTGGTCTACTGGAAGCGTCGGTCTAGAAGTATTAAGAGCGTCGTCATAGAAAATGTTTATTTACATATTTTCTTTCATTCTTTGTATGAATATTGGATTTCGGTCATGAAAAAGAGCTATGTGTTGATTAACTGCATCGTTTCTATGCTCGCCTTCGCCCACTATCTCATTGTTCTTTATGAAATATTTTCAATTTTTCTCTTCTACTGCAGTATTCATCTTCTTTCTGTGTTTTATCATTCATTCAAAATCATATGAGGCATGTTGATGAATTTCACCGATTAGAAAAAGAAACTAAAAGGTTACGTGACACATGATTTGAATATAAAAAGAACAGTTTGTTTACGATGACAAAGGCATATCGATAACCCAGCATAGATGTCGGAAGAGAAAAACAAGAAGTACAGCTCAATTTTTTTTTAGCATTCTCATCAAAATTTCATTTTGATAACATTCTTGTTAAATAGAAAATGAAGATTTGTATAATATATATTGTGATCGATTCGATCCATTAAATTATTATAGATGACGAGTAACGATCACTGCAATCAAAATGGAGTTTCGTTGACTTCTTTTGATAATTAAGTAAAGATAATTCTTCATAATTTTTCTTTCTCATACGAATTTTCACTAGTCATGAATTCAACGAAAATGTAACAAAATTCAAACCTATTTCATTCCTTAGTTTGGTAAATCTATTCTTGACTAAAATAAATCTTTATTCATCATTGATTTCAGTTTCGATTCGCCAATCGATTAGATTTCATTTTATTGATACTTGGCTTTGTGGCTGCATTCGGAAATGGAGCCGTTTCGCCTCTAATGATGTTCTACTTTGCAGCTATCATCAAAACATTCTCCGATCAGCCGACAAATTTTTGTAAGCTCAATTATACTTCGTTCAGTACGCAATATTGTGAACCAGGAATTCTACTGACATCGGCAAACTATATTCAGGAATCGAGGTACTCTGTTTGCCAATATCAAATTATTCCATTTTAACACATATTAAATCTTTCAGCAAATGTACCTTTAGTGGCGGCGCAATGAACTATACTGTTTCGACAGCCATGTTTCGACAACAACTTCATCACCAGTCGTTATGTTTGATCGGTTTGTTATTGAGAATCTGAAGACTTAATCGAACTATTACTTATCTTTTGACAGTGATCGGTTGTGTTTCGTTCGTACTTGCCTTTATTCAGATGAGTTTGTGTTCTTTAACATGTGAGCGCCAAATACGACGAATGAGAGAACAAGTATTTCGCGTACTATTAAAAAAGGATATTTTTAAATTTGGTACACACACAACTGGTGAATTAACAACAATACTAAATAAGTATTTATCTGACTATTGAATAACAAAACATGTATATCATTTTTTTAAAAGTAATATTGGTAAAATACACGATGGTATTGGTGACAAATTGGGCTTGTTAGTACAATTGAACGCCAAATTTTTTATTAGCATAGTGCTTGCATTCTTTCATGGATGGAAAATGACCTTAGTCATTTTCTCATTAGCACCTCTCATTTGGATTGTTTCAATTATTACATCAAAAGTATATTTTTTTAACAAATCAAATAAGCTTATTCTTTTTTCTTTCAATCTGCAGATGTCCGGAAAAATGTTCGCACAAGAATTGCAAGCATATGAACGTGCTGGAGCTATTGCTGAAGAAGTATTTAGTAATGTGCGACTGGTTCTTGCTTTCAACGGTACTGAGCATGAATAGGCTAGGTAACATATGAAATTCGAATCTTCTATGGACTCTATTTCTTTCGATTAAGATACGAAAAACATATTGAATCTGCTCGAAAACAAGGCATAAAGAAAGGAACAATTGCTGGAATAATTATTGGTTCTATGTACATCATTCTATTTGGTTCTCATGCACTTGCCTTTTGGTACGGAAATCAATTGATTCAAAATGAAGATTATGATATTGGAAATGTTATTTTTGTAAGTACATGGATAGGCAGCATGTTATAAATCGATTGACGGAAAAAGAAAATCGGAAAAATGTAGAGGATAAAAACAACGAAAAGGAAAAATAGATGAAAGCTGGATGTGGGTGTGATTGTTGGCTTGTTCCGAACGACAGCTACACCCCCAGCCACACGATTGTTTGGAAAACAAAAGAATCTTGCTCTGGATATAGTGAAAAATCCGGTGCTTTCATGAAAAAACGTCGCATAATTCAAGACGATAGTCAAAATTTCTGATTTTTTGTAGAGAACATAGCATAATGTGAGGATTATCTATCGATGAAAAAAAGAAAAATTTTATCTCTTCTTTCTGTTTGACGAATCAAGAAAGACGAAAAGACACGGGGGTGTGCCAATACTTCTTGATTTCACTGTATGTTAGAGTGAAAAGAGAATGCCTTATCACCAAAAAGGATTCCGTGAATAATCAAACCCAACACGGGTTCATCGTCTTCGCGAATTAGAAAACAGTGCTCTTGAAATTATATCAGTATTTTGTTCGTGATTTCGTGTAACTAAGTGTCAATTGAGAAAGAGAGATCACGGCAAGTTCCATTGTATCCAAGATCAACATTAATATGAATAGTGTAAGTTTCTTTGTTGCAGGTAACTTTTTCGCTCACATATTGGTACTCGTTCATATGATTTGATAGGAATGGTGATGGTGATGGCGACGGTGATGGAAATGTCCATGGCGAACCATAGCATAGTGACATAGACTCATTTTTACCGAGGCAATACTCTCGTACTAATTTACCATGCTCATTGTATTCGATGAAATGTACTCGTACACTTTCCAATCGGTCAAACCAACCAGTGAAAGAATAGAAAAGATCATCGGTCTGTGCCTTGATAGCCAACCATTCTCGATAGCGACGAGTACTAATGTTTTTGTGAATGCTGTATCTATCAGTCAACTTTAGACAATTGTGCTCGCTAAGTAGATTTGGATTTCGACCTATGCTACCGCCAGACAGTTTGGCTCCAGACACGGATATAACTTTCTCAAGCTATTACCATAAAGAAAACAAAATTAAAGAATCCAGTTCTGTTTAATTTTCAGTAGCTACCTGCTTCCGAGTGATTTTAGCATCGACTAGTTTGGCATTGGTAAAGTCAGCTTCATAGACGTCTGCTCCTGTAAAATCGGCTTCTTCCAAAAAAGCGGAATCAAAATTTACATTGTTGAGCCCGGCATCATAGAAAGAAGCTCGGCGCAAGCGACAATCGCCAAAATCACTATATAACCCAAAGACACTCTAGTAAAAGAAGCATCGTCAAGAGAGGCACCAAAAAAGGACACTTGACGCATGTCAACAGGTTTTTCATGTTCACTCAAATCAATGTCATTGAGATCGGCACCAGCCAGGCTGAGAACTGGTGGGCTCGTGGTAGAAATCATTCGAGATTCACGAAGAAATTGAATGAGATAACCCTTACGGGTCACATCAATTTGCCGCAATACGGCCAATGTTTTTGGACGAACAATGGATGTAAGTATACGCTTGCTCAACGAAAAATTGTTGGTAAGTAATAGATGGGATATTTCGTTCATGTAAGCAACTAGTTTAGCGTCGCGTTGTCCATCCAGAGCCAATTCCACATTTTGACGGTGCTGATCAGCAGTAATACGCAAATCCACGTCACGATTTGTTTCAGCTATTGATTTTTGTTGAAGAGCGAGAATAATACTGAATATAGCAATCACGATAGGAACAAGCACGGCTGATACAAAATTCAATACCGTTTTCAAATGGCATTCTGAGAAGCATCGCCGATGAGCCATTTCTATCTCAGTGCTGGGCATTAGAAAGTTCAACAAAAGATTGTGTGCAAAGAACGCTTTGTTTTTCCAATTTCCTATTCAATTATGCCATATCAAATAAAAATTGCTTCCATAGCACGTAAAAACTACATCAATGATGTTTTTTTTGCACGTTCATTACACACGAATTGGTTAGCTACAAAGTTAACATTATACTTTTCCATGCAATGAATTCCGATGATGACTAGTCTACTGATGAAAGTGTGACACTGTTAGACAATAGCCATAGCATAGAGCCATCCATGATATTTCCTAGAGTAGAACTTGATCAACCTTGGAAAGAGACTAAAATCAGTGCGGAAAAGTTCTATATTATTTATGGGTATGCGTGTGGCTGGGATGAGTGTGGGTGTGGGATTTGAGTTAATTCACACGTGCATGCTTCTACAAAGACCCACACCCAGACGCTCATTTTTCCCAAGGCTTTAGCCTAATTAATTGACGAAACAACGAATTTGTATATTCTTGAATAAAACTCTAAGGATTCGGCATATTTTTTTGGCGCTAATTCCAAATATGTACTTGGTTTGATGAGTTAAACATACTTTTGCGGAGAAAATCACGAAATACGTGCCAAATTTTGAGAATTTCTATGGCAAAAAAGTAGTGTGGGCTTGCTGAAGATCGATTTTCAAGCGTTTCTGCTCGTGAGTTGCTCACAATTTTGTAAAACATAGTCCCGAAGTTCTTGTGAATAGTGAGCAATAGGGTTGATTGTACAAGGTTATCCACTCCATCCTTTGCATAATAAAGTCTTTGCCTTTTAGCATTAGAACTAACCATTGCGTTCAATCCTTTCAGTACCAATACTAGATATTCTCTTGAACTTGAACAAATTTAAAGTTTAATACAAATTTCTCAAAGAAAAATAGTTTGATATTGGTTTTTACAAAATATATAGATTGAAATTATCGTTAGGACTGAATGTGGTCATGTTTATTAACAGCGATAGATTATTTTGATTGATAATTTAGTTTTAATTAAACATCATGAATTTACGAGGCGACATTTTCAACTGATAAATCGCTTTTGAGTTCGGACTCTGTACATAAGGCAGACCCCGGTGAGGCATGAAAAATCCCAAAAGGATATGTGCCATTAGACTTTCTATCCAGAGTTATAGGCATTTTGCTGGAATTTGAGCCTCTGGTATGACATATATCAACAAATCAAGTGGCGGTATTTCGACCTATGATTTTGTCCAGGACCAAGTCTCTTTGTGAGTAGAATACCTTTAAAATTTCAGCTCAAAAGCATTTTTCCTTTCCGAGATATTAAAGTTCTAAAAAATAGAAAATTCTAGCATCTTTCGTGAGATATGAGTGATTTTGGGGACTATAATATCTCACGAAGGAAACATTTAATTGAGCTGAGATTTTCAGGGTGTTCTACTCATAAATGGACCTGCCTGTGGGCAAAATTATAGGTTGAAATACCATCATTCGATTTATTTATATGTATCATACCATAGGCTAAAATTCCAGTAAAATGCCTATAACTCTGGACAAAAAGTCTAATGGCACTTATCCTTTTGAGATTTTTCATATCTCACTGGGTCTACCTCATGCACAGAGTTCAAACTCAAAAGCGATTTATCAGTTGAAAATGTTCCCTCGTTAGACTAATCAACTATATTCTCATAGCAATAATCCATTACTCATAGCTTACAGTGATTTTTGAATAATCAATCACAATTTGAAAATGTCCTTTTAAAATTGAAAAATGAAGCAAACGGTAAGAAGCGTAATCGCGTTACCAAAAATCATCGTAAAATGGGATTTTTTTCTGATAATGATATGTGCATAAGATAGCCCATAAAAACCTAGCTTTAGGTACCTATTTTTTATAAAAAACAGGCCGAACCAACAGTTGAAAAACAAACAATACTCATTTTTCGTTACGCGATGACGTGATAAATAGAGTAGTTTTACGTAAGCTCGTTGCAAAAAAGTATAACACATAGAAAATTAATCTGTGTGCTAAAAGATACATGTGTTATTATAGACTTAATTAGCCTTAATCAGCTTTGTACATGTCAAACTGTTTTGATATATCGGCTAGGTCAAATGGTGGTCCAGACAGAGGATTTTTCTTTCTCTTCGAGTGACATCTTTGTTGTCAATCACTAACTGCGATTTGTAGCGTTTATTAACGGAGTAAAATATGTGTCTATACATTTTAGACTATGCTCTAGAGGATGGCACTACTGAGTTTGTCAAATGACGACTTCAGACTCCTGGTCACTGAAGTTACACGTTACGCATTTTAGCCGAATGATACTACATAATGATAAATCAATCTTCTCTTTTACTAATTCACTATTAGTAAGTTTATCCAACACCTGACTCACACAAAACTCTTTAATTGAGAGAAAATGACGATTGGGATAATTACTTTATCATACTCATCCATCCTTCAATAAGCGTATTTCGCTACGCGTTTTGCTAGCACTGGATTGTTTCTAATGCGATCTCACCCTCGACGCCTGATAGGGTAGAAGCACGTATCGGGGATGCATATTCTCTCATCCTCATCCGCAAATTTACTTACACATATATTCCGCCTTATCAGCACTCAAACAACGTTGTTCATTTTCTTCTGCGATGACTTTGCCACATAGCGTAATTTCATATATACCATTGATATATTCTTGTTCTTATTTGTCTTGTACATATTCATCATGAGTGGTGAGAGATATCCTCCTATAACATGGAAATGATGTGCACATTCTAAATATTTCTTGGTTTTAATCATATGCGATGCATGAGTGTGGTGAACAAGATTCAGTGCATTCGTCTTAATCAATA